GGGGGGGGGGGTCGACATCGCGTACACACAACGATCTCGGCATGGCAAAAGGGAAGAAAGCACACAGAGCGATAACAAAAGGTTATTTAACAAACACAGTCCACATGTTCTTCAAAAAGGTGGATAAGTAATTGTTCTTAAGACGAACTCCTGTCAATTCCATAGATTTCGATTTTGAGTAAATAAGCAAATAAAAGAAATGCATGTAGGGGAGATTTTCTTTTTCGATTTTTATTTTCCAGTTGCTGCTTAGTTTCACGACTAGTCTGTTCTTTTCACATTCGATGTACTTCCCTCTGATTAACTCTGCTATGCTCCTTCTTGTGTGCTCAAATTCGTTCGAGTACAACCTCGAGGGGTGAAAGTGCTGCGAGGGGGAGGGGCGAATAGAGGTGCCAAATGGGAAGGCAAAGTGGTAAGGCAAAATTGCATGCTGCAAAATTCGAGACATCATGTCCAATCTATCCAAACAGACGCCCATCAGCAGATGCCACCTCTACACACTCATCCTTCTCTCTCCAAGCGCGTGTCTTCACTTACCGGGTGATTGTATGATCGGAAGTTATAAATGTCGTACTTCTCGTCATAATTGATAAATTCCACCTCTTTAAAAAATATAAAAACATCGACATTTTTGTCGGCCATGTCCTCCTTGGAAGGATTCTCCTCCTTGGAAGCATTCTCCTTGGAAGCATTCTCCTTGGAAGCATTCTCCTTGTTCTTTCTTTCTACCTTGTATAAGTAATTGTACAGATTGTTCTTGTCATTGCCTACGACACTTCTGCTACCGAGTCTGCCCCTTTTATGTTCTCCCTTCTGCACCCCGCTAGACTCTACATGCTGGACGTGAATCATTTTCTTAAGCATTTCTCTCTCCTTGCATTGGAAGTCTTTCCTATATGTCGAGATTAACGAGTCTGGAGAAATCATTGAAATGTTTACACAGCATAGATTTCCGTTCGACGTTAGGAGAAAGACTTTGTAAAACAAATTGTTCTTCTTGTCTTCAGCACAGTCGTAGTCGATAACTTCCTGAAGGGAGTGAGATAGTGGAATGTGCAAAGGTAACAGTTGGGCAGTTTTGAAAAACGGGGGGGAAATGACGAGGCGTTGATGAGTGGGCCGATGCCTCCCATGTGTCTATCTCTTTGGGGAGCTACGTGCGGGTAGATAACTCGCCTCTGCCGCTTCCGCTTCCTCTGCCGGCTCCTCTGCTTTCCCTCATTTTACCTTCCTTTCCACGTCCGTGTAGTGCACTATCACCCCCGAGAGGGTGTAGAAATTGCCCTGAATTAAATCGTAGTAGAAACTTTGCCCGCTCGCATTTATCTTGGCGTAGTTTCTCAAAAGGGCCATGTGGATCCTAGACAAAACCGGGATTTTAAAAACGTTTGTATAGATAAACGATGGGTAGCAAACCTGCTGCTCCTCTGTCTTAGGTTTGACTTGACTTTTCCTTCCAGTTTGGTTCCCTTGTGCGCTATTCTGCAAGGTCACCATGTCGTTAAGCTCCTCAAACAATTTGCTCCTATACTTATCATCCAAATTGATGTGCGTCGCCTGGGTGGCTTGAAGGACTATGGGCGTGTAGTTTTTGCCTCTCCCGAAGAGCCCGCTGAATGGGTTCTGCAGGTAGACATCCGGGTAGTCATGCGGGTATCCATCCGGGTAGTCATCTCCGCAGCTTCCTTTCATAACTCCCCCATTTCTGCTCTCCATCTCTTCCTTAAAAAAGTGAGACTCAAAAGAGTTATAACTCATTGCCTTCTTCATATGGTTAGCTTTCTTTCCCCCCTGAAACGTCTCGTAAATAAAATCGTCCATAATGTCTTCACCCAACACCTGACTGAATTTGTTATTCCTGCTTGACTTCTGCACGTATACGTTGAACAGCTTGATGCGGCTCCCCCGCCGCAGCCTTTCGTACGTCTCCATGTCCATCTGGAGGGAAGAAAAAAAAAAAAAAAAAAAAAAAAAAACATATACGTGTGAGTGTGCAGAATGGGGGTGAATGCGTCTCCCATCTGGGGGTCTTCCCATCTGGGCATCTACGCACCTGCGCGTTTTCACATTTTCACATCTCCGCTCTCACTATCTCTTCCCCTCTGTGACTCACCCGAGAGAGCTTCACTCGACACAGCGAGTTGATGACGTGCTCGATCTTGTCATCCAGAGATGTCGCCCCCCTTATCCGTTCGCAGGCCGCGAAGTCTATGGCCTGCACGACGCAAAAGGAAGTGGCCTCCAGGAACATAGTCAATTCGTTCTTCACCTTCGTGTATCGAGGATCCTCCTGAAACTTCTCCTCCTGCAGGAGCTTGCTCATTTCGTGTCTCAAATTGTAGACAATCTTCTCGTACACATTGCTATGTACCAGGTGATACTTCTTCTTTACGGAATCATAGAACCCATAGGTAAAATCACTCTTGCTGATAATTATGACATCTACAAAGAAGCAGGAGTTTCCCCAATGCTCAATATGTTTAATTCTTTTGGCCCTATATTTTGTCAACCCTACTCGGAGCTGATTCTGTTGATCTATTTGGATCAAATCGTTACTAGAGAGGGCAAACAGAATCGAAGACTTATTCGACAAATCACTCTGAGTTTGCTCCTGTGTTTGATTGTGCAAATCTAGGGCATTTATTCTTAACACATTGCCTTGCTTTATCACATTTGACATGAGCAGATTTTTTAAATAAGAATCTTTCGCGGTGCAATATATGTATTCGAAGTTGTCACTTAGAATTAAAACAAATTCATTGTCTTCCGTTTTTATGATTTTTTCCACTCGTAGATTTACGGGCACTTTGTATGACACGGTGTTATCCTGCATCATCTGCAGGATGGACTTCTTATCTTTTCTTTCCTCTAGATATCGTTTTAGCAATTTGAAAATGAACTCTATTGGAGAGGGGGGCTCCACGTCGTCGATGGTTCCAATGAGGAGCATTGACTCGGGGGGCGGCAGCCTGGTCATGTCTCCTCTCAGCAATGTTCCGAAAGTGGCGCTCCTCCCGCTTATGCCGCTTATTCTGCTAATCCCGTTAACCCCGTGGTGCATATCCCCAGGGATGGCCCCGTTTGGGAACTCGCTGCTGAAAAATTCATTCTTGAGAGGGGGACCCCCACCCGGGGTCTCCCCATACGTACACCCTTCTGCGAGGGGAGAGGTATATCCTTCTTCATGCCGATGGTCCTTCTCCTCCTTAACAAGCGGTTTAACGACGTTGCCACGTTCTCCCTTCAGGGCGCACCTCTGTCCATTGTTGCATTCTGATAGGATCTCCACACCGAAATGTTCTTTCCCTTCATGGAAGGAACTTCTATTCGGATGGAACATCTCCCTCTCCCGAAGTAGATTGTACCTTCTTTGGAGCTCCTTCGTATACCTACGCACCAGCGCCGTGGTCACCAATTTGTACTTCTTCAAAAACCAGGCAAAATCATACGAATGGAAAATGTTAATCTCTTTTGTAATCAGAACGAACAGCTCGTACAAGACAATCACGTCAGCAGTGTAGTACTCATTCAGTTTTTCATTTTTTAGAAAATACACATAGTCATTGTCGGACCAGTTAAATGTGCACATCGGTTTATTTTCATTCACGTACATAAGGCTATTTGTCAATCTGCGGTTTCCTTTTAACTTTTTCCTCTTGGCCAAAAGGGTGTACATCTCTCTTATCAGCTTGAAGTGATCTCTTAAGTTTAGATTTAAATCGATGTGTCTCTTTTTTTTACCAATGGGAGTCGTATTTGTCTCATTCGTGTGATTAGTTCCTTCCCTTTTGTGAGCCAACTGCACTCCGCTAGCTTCTTCGCTTAACTTACGCTTCCTCGGATTGATAAAATTATTTTTGCTCCTCACATCACTCCTCAGCATTTGTCTTCCCACTCTCCTCATTGAATCGTTTCCTCCCTCCGCAGAGGCGCCCCTATATTCTATACTGTGAGGAAGATTCACCTCGGTGGTTATATTTTCGTTATAACCCTCCGATTGGTATAATTCCTCTTCTCTTACGCTTACCCCTCTGTGGAGGGTGTCTCCGTGAAGGCTGTCTCCTGCCGGATCCTTCCCTCCAGGTGGAATTCCCCTCTGTGCGCACTCCACTTCGATGCCCTTCGACTGGGGACCCTTCCACGCAGACATCTTCTCACCTCCTTGCTTCTTCCTAACCGCCTCTTCCACTTTGATTCCCCCCTGTCCTGTTATAACCTCCTTGTCATGCTCTGACCCATCAGACAGATTCATCTTATTCGCGTTGCTAAAGTGGGACCCCCTACTCTCCGCTTCCTTCACCCCTTTGTCTTCTTCCCTCTCCGATGGGTGTGCTAACGTGACGGAGGCATATCCCAAGGGATGCTCATTTCTGTGTGCAATTTTGTCCCCATTTTGGATAATGAGATCTATGTGTTTTTTTTCTTTTTGCAAATTGTTTAGGAAGGCGCCGCCATCCTCCTGGTGGTCGTCGTCCCCAAACAGCTTCTCCCGCATCCGGTTCAGCACGTCCTTATTAATGTTCACCTCCTTCCCGGAGGCGTACGCGAAGGATCCCAGCGGTTGCTCCCTCGCGCCGCCAACGCCATTATTACCGCTACTGCTACTATTATTGGCCTTTCCCCCGACGACGGTGTCATCCCCGAATAGCGTCTCCCGCATCCGGTGCAGCACGTCCCTGTTTATGGTCACTTCCTTCCCAGAGGCGTACGCGAACGATTTTTGCTTCTTGCCACTGCTCGGGGGGGCACCTACACTCGACAAATTCACGCTCCCAAATGGGTAATTATGACTGTTACTAGGTCTGACTTGGGTGCTTCCCTCGGTCGGAATTGCCTCCCTGGTAATGCACCCTTCTCCCTCATCGTCATCACGGAACAGTTCTTTCCTCATTTCGTTTAGGACGTCTTTATTTATGTTCACTTCCTTCCCAGAAGCATACGTGAATGAAGAGTAATTTGTGGGTATCTCGCTCACGGAGCTTTTATTTCCCTTAGGGGAATCTTCCAACGGATGGGAGTTTTCACCTTGCTTAACCTTTTTCCTGGCATTGTAGCTGGGTGTAGGGTGATTTCCCTGGCTTTGGTGCAGTTGTTCAGTCTGCCCGATTTGCTCACTTTGCTCACTTTGTCCATTTTTTCCACTTTTCCCATCTTCATCACGGTCTGCCTTTTCCAAGGACTTCCTCTCAGCGTTGCCGACCACTTGCTCTCCCCAACCTTCACGATGCTGTAGCGGCTGCTCCTCCCCGCAGAAGATATTCAAAAACTCATCACCCTGCGCACTCTTCGCGCTAAGAATTTTGTTGTATATGTCTAAAAATTCGTCCTCCTGGGGACCCGCTGCACTGCTTTGTGATTTCTCACGAATGTGCCGAAATTCATCTTCTCCGTGCAAGATTGAATTTTTCTCCTGCTGATAGATCTCCAGAAATTCATCATTCATGTTGCTAGTTTCTTTCCTCCCTGTTCCATTAATGGTATCATAAATTTCCACAAATTCGTCCTGAGTTGCTTCCTGAATTGGGATGGTGTAATTGTTTCTGTCATAAATTTCGAGCAGCTCATATAGTTGGCGTTCTCTCGGTTGACTTCCAACTTGGCTCTGATCACAAAAGTGAAGAAATTCATGCAAGTCGTTTCCATGCCCCTGCCCTGAGATGGTAGTGGCGGCGGTAGTGGCGGTGGCAGTGGTAGTGGCGGTGGCAGTGGTAGTGGCGGTGGCAGTGGTAGTGGCGGTGGCAGTGGTGGTGGTAGTGGCGGTGGTAGTGGCGATCGTAGTGCCGGTGGTAACCTTCCTACTTTCATATGACCCAACGTTAATGCTTTTGCACGAAAAATTATCGTGCTTGTTATCCTCCAAGAAATGTTGCGCAACGTTAAACGCCAATATGCTCCTATTGTGGGAATTTAATTTTTCCGAATGGTCGTAATTTTCCTGCATAAAATTATTTTTTGAAAATTGCTTTTTTTGCAAAAGAGTGGTGGGGTTATATTTCCTATGTTCCTTTTTCTCAATTTCCATATCATCAATACTTTTTCGAAATAGGAAATTTGTTCCCCTAAAAAAAGGGCCTTGAACTAATTGTGCAATATTATCTTCACTTAAATCACCGTCTTTTTTGCAATATCCAAAAATTGCATTTATTTGTTTACTGATGTAGGCATCCATGAGAATGCGTTTTAATGGTGACCCCTGGTCGTATGCCGTTGCTTCTTTTAACATGTCCATTTTTGCGTTGTTTTTTTTTTCCTCACAAATATATTTTTCTTTATTTCCAACGTATGCATCTTCCTCGCGTGTGTAATTGTTCTCATTGTACGCTTCGTCATTTTTGCAAAATGGACTTTTCGACGAACGGTCACTGTGCAAGTCTTTTTCGTAGCGGCTATGTGGACTTCGCTTATTTGCACTTTGGTTAAAAGTGTGCTGAAAATTATTACTGTTCAGGTAAAAATTGTCTTCCTTCCATCCATTTTGCTCGATGTGCAAATATTCCTCGCCCTTTTCATGTAACACCTTTTTGCAATTCTTGTCAATTGGGGCGTTTGCGGGATGGCCTTCTGGGCACTCCTCCTTGTGGATGCTACGGGTTTTGCTTTCCATGTAGTAGTTCCCGATGTTTCCGCTTCCCTGCGGGTCACAGGTTGGTCGGCCACCACGTGACTTTTTCAGGCCATTTTTGTGGAAGCTTTCGTCTGACCCGTTCAGGCAATTTTGACTATCATCAAATTTGCACACACGGCCATAACTTAAATTGTCATCTTCAAACGTATCGAAGGCCCAATTGTAAATTAAATTATCGTCAACCCCCTCTACGATGGTGCTCTTCTCCGTTAGTTTTATGCCCTGCGCAGGGCTATTTTCGCTATGTGGCCAATTTTTTTTGTTCTTTTCCTCCCCAGGAATATGGCCATGGTGAGTACCGGACAAATTCGCCTTTTTTATTAGCTGTTCATCGAAGTAGGGCATTTCTTCTCCCCAATTTGTATCTCTATCCATGCTTTCTTTTTGTAATTCCCATTTCTCTATTTTTTCCCATGTGTCACCTCTTTGGAGGTGGTTATCAGTTGGGCCACTTACCACCTTGCACCATTTCCGTGGGGAGAATATTTCCCCTTCGTGAGGTGCTTTCCTGCGTTTGTCCCATTCGCCCCTGCTTGGTAAGTCGCGCTTTGTTGCAGCACTATTCGCCGAGCCACCCTGTGTAAATTCCTTTTTTCCGAAGGAGCTGGATCTCTCCCCGGTGCCGGAAAAATTATATGCACAGTCAACACCCCCTATGCTGGAATGCTCTCCCAAACCACCCGCGTCACAACGGAAGTGTTCACAACTGACATATTCTCCGCTCATGAAAGCGTCGATGGCGCTGTTATAACTTAACTCTCTCTTCCCATTTTGGAATTCCGGCCCTGCACAGTCACCTCTGTCGTGGCGATAGTTACCAGGAGGAATCTTAACAATTTGTGTAAGCTTCCCCCCCTCGTGTGATCCACCCCCATTTAGACTTTGCAATTTTACTTCACTTGTGTCTTTCGTTTTCAAAAAGGCAATTTTCTTGCCAGCGTGGTTGTTGCTAAACTGATGGTGTTTTCCCTTCAGCCTTGTGCTCTTCCTGTTCGAATCATTATCGTAAAAATTGAGTTGATTAGTGGAGTGCTCTTTTTCGAAGTACTGCTTGTTGTGATTATTCCTTTGGGTGCTAAATTCTTCTGACATTCTTTTGTTAGTTCGCCCGTCTTGCTGAGCAGAGGCCAATTCGTGTCTAGTGCTTGGGTTGGCATAGCTGCAGATGCTGGTGTTATTCCGTGGGGGGCACTTCTGGCTGCAGTTAACACCACTTTTGTTGCAAATGGGAGTCGTAAAGTACCTCTGAGCTGCCTCACTAATGCAACCCCCTCCTCCCCAGACGTCAACATTAGCGCCACCACTGTCGAACCAACTCTCCCACGCAAGGAACCCATTGTCTCTGTATAACTCGTTTGGGTTGTTAAAGTGGAAGCTGTTCTTCACTTTTCCGATGCCTTTCGCATTTCTTTTCTCATTCTGAAATATGCCCAAGCCTATTACGTTATTGCTAAACACATTTACAACCATTTCGATGCTACATAAATTGTCACCAGTCTTGTAAAAAATTTGTACGCTATTGTGGATGTGCACACAGACATGGTTATTCTTTGCATGTCCAAGCACCATAATTTCCGTATGCACTCCACTCGTCTTTTACGTTATTGTCTTTACGCGGCATACTCCCATTAAATTTGCTGCTGTACATTTTGGTGGCTTTGTGGCCATTTTTTTTAAAAGGTGTGGAA